GAGAGGCAGTAATGGAACTGTGCCTATTTTTTTTTTCCTTTTCCCCTTTTCAAAGTCACTTCGTGAGGATATTCTAGATTGCACAGTATCGCTACTCTCCGATTGACTGCTGCGCCGGTTGTGCCTGGATGCGCAGGGAACAATTTTCTATTTCCCAGCGCTAAAACGCTTGTAAAATTAAAAAAAAAAGTGCCTTTATTGCACCGTCAAGAATAATGAGCACTCACATGCGTGGGATAATTATTATGAGGCAGAAAAGAACTACATGCACGCATTGCGTCATGTCAAACACGCATTTTACCATAACAACCTTCCAAACGTATTAGTTAATAAACCAAAGCGATTTTGGAAAGCTGTTAACCCTATAGTGAGACACACACTATACAAATAACAAATTAATCAAACAAAATTCTCAGTGACGCCGAATGTGCTTATGTGTTCAACTCCGCTTTTAGAAGTGTTTTTACAAACGTGTGAAATGCATCCCCCGCATCACCATCGATTTGTATCAGTTCTTAAATGACAGCTATCATTTTTAATGCAAGCAGAATTTGTGCTATAATTAACAAGATGCAGTGTTCATCTTGCTGAGGTGTAAACAAAATAATGCAAAAATTTTGAGAGAAAAAAAACAAAGTGCATGCATAACCACACCCTTTGCTGTTCACCCAATCTTTCTCTGTAGGCCTTATTCCAGATAACTGGAGAGTTTAAAAGGGAGTTCCAGTTCAGAAAACCGGTAATAAAACATCCCCGCTAAACTGCCGTCAATCTCATTAACAAGCATTCATTGCAAAATCATGGAACGTGTCATTTACTCTCTTGTCACAAGCTTTCTTGACTGGAGCGGATTTTTTTATGCCACACAACATGGATACTGCAGAGTATTCTCTTGTGAAACGCATGCAGCTCGCAATCTTTCTACATGACATTCATACTAATCTTAATATTAACATAAAGAGTGACGTAACCTTTCTGGACTTCTGCAAAGCCTTTGATAGGGTTCCTCACCAGCGTTTATTATTAAGGCTAAGGAAACTTAACTTGCATGCGGACGTCTTGAAGGGAATTAGGTAATTTCTTAGTAACCGCTCCCTATCCGTAATTATCACTTATCGGACTCAGCACTAGTAACATCTTGCGTTTCTCAAGGATCGGTCCACGGCCCTTTACTATTTTTAATAGTTAATAATGACTTACCTTCATGTGCTTGTAAACTTAGAATGTTCGCGGATGACTGTGTCATTTATCGCAATATAATATAACACCCACAATCAAGCTCCTTTCCAAAAAGATCTAGATAGCATAGCTACTTGGTTTGATGATTGGCTAATGACCTTAAATGCAAGCAAATGTAAAGTTATGTTGTTTTCTCGTAGTACTAATCCCATAGAATTTTTTTTACAAAATAAAAGCACGCCTTTCGAGAATGTGCATTCTTATAAATATCTAGGAATCACTCTTTACAACCATCTGACCTGGGATGCCCATATCTCTAATACCTTATCATCAGTGAACCGCACCCTGGGCGTAATCTTCGTCACGTAACACGTCACGTTACACGTAATCTTCGTCAGACCCCCCGAAATGTGAAGTTTCTCGCCTATCAGTCACTCGTAAGACCAAAACTGAAGTATGCATCAGCCATCTGGAACCCACATCAGTCATATCTCATCAATTCTCTTGAAGCTGTGCACAATCGCGCTACTACATTCATTCACTCAAGCAACTCACATGATATCATCGTTTCAGCACTTAAGGCAGGCAGAATTCCATTTACCGCAGCTTTCTGATCGTCAACCGCAGCTCTTGTCTTGCTCTTTATCGCAAGTTCGTTCGCAGCACCGTTAATCAAGAGCCACACATTGTTCACGCTGCACGCATTTCTCACCGCACCTGTCATCTGCAACAAGTCGCACGCCCACGTGCCCGAACTGCTCACTTATCTGCCTCATTCATCCCACGACTGGAATGACCAGCCAGCCAAAGCCAAAGACTGGAACGACATTCCTGCTGAAACTGCCGCCATTACCTCTCTGTGTGCGCCAACGAAAAGTAGACGTATGCCACTTAAAACGGCTTGCTGTCGAATGCCTGTTTGGGCACTGTCCACGATCATTGGCTCGGGCCCCTGTAGGACCCGATGTGCGGTGAGACCGGGCTTGGCCGGGTAGGTGAATATTGCGGGTTCGGGCTAAGTCTGGGTCTCGCTTCTAGTCAACGAGTGGGGTTCCAGTGGTTATAAGCTTGAAGAAGCGTTGGATTCATGCAGTGCTCTACTAGGGACCTAACGAGAACAAATATTGTTGTCTTTGCAATACAACCGCGGGAGTTGATTATAGCGAAGCTAAATATGCATACTTTCGTTGAGCTAAAATGTTATATAATTTTTGATCTCCCTTTTCATGTCAATCGCCCTGTTTGATTAAACATTTTGAACAAATTTTGAGCTTCTGAGTAAGTTTATTCTTATTTCTTTCGGTTGCAAAATGGTAGAGACCCGTGAACTGTATGATGTCAGTGCACGTTAACGAACACCAGCTGGTCAAAATTTTTCCGGAGCCCTCCACTGCAGCGTCTCTCATAATCGAATCGTTGTTTTGGGACGCGAAATTCCAGATATTATAATTATTTACTTCAATTAGTTTTGAAATTCACTCAACAGCTTGGAGACGGCGTACGGTGTCGTAAAAACGTGTCAATTCAGGAGTGTAAAACTAAAGAGTTTTGAAATTCAACTTTCGGTAAAGTGTTGAAATTCCTCAGGGTGCTTATAGAGATATGAGCATCTACTGAAACAGTACCCGTCTTCTCTTAATCACGCATAGGACGGTACTGAAAAGGTTTTGTCACAGCCGATCACGAATGAATGAGAGCTCAGTGAACTTTGGAAAGCCGACCTTAGACGTTGCGCCTGTGGTGGCCGTTGTATCCGCAATGGGTGGCAGATAAACAATGCACCAGCAACACGTTGAAGACACGATAAAGAACGACTTCAAGCTGCTACCTAGAGGAATATCATAAAACACGAGAGGAGTAAAAGATAACCTAAGAAAAAAAACGAGAAAGAATTCGGAGGGACACTAACACCCACCCCCCTCTTCCACAGGGTGAAGAACCGTGCGGTGGCGTTTGTTTATTTTTGGTAGCATGCGCGGGCCAGTGTACATCACTTGGATACAGGGATCGGTGTAAACAGCTGCGCGGAGAAGGGAGCGAGCCTCTCACTCGCTCAGACAGTGAAAGGAAGCGGCGAGATGTACTCGGGCGCGGCTGAATGCGGCTTATTCGCTCTGTCGTGCACCGCTGCCGCCTGCTCGTCCGTATACAGCATTCGGCAATAATGAGCCAAAGCGACAAGAAGAGGGGGGATCCTTTACCCAGCCGCCGTCGCCGGTCTGCAGTTTACTTGCCAGACGCAGATTCTTTCGGTCCCCATTCGTACACAGAAGCTCGACGCCGACGACGGAGATAGAGGAAGTGGTATCTCGCTAATACAGAAGGGAAGGGAGCATCGGGTGCGGTGAGAGTGCTTGCTCTATTGGCCACAAACCGAGCGCCCGTTGTATGCTAAAGACAGCCATCCGCAGCTTCTTCGACCGTTATCTTTTCTTGCTCTTCTTTTCCAGCCGGTGCGACAGTAGCCGGTCTGTCGACGTGAGAACTCGCCGTTCATTTGGGGGACAGCGCGCTTGGCGGACGCTGCGCCATCTCAGCGGGGGGTTTGCGCGAAGGCGACTTGAGGTGTGTGTGTTCCATGTCAGGGTAGGATGAAAGAGGGGGGGATCAGTTTGTGTACGCTCTTCCTTACCGGTATAGTCAGTTTCTGGCTGCACTCGTCTGGATCTCGGTAGGGTGCCTCAAGGTCAACAGCGGCGAGCGGGGGCGTCTGGCAGCGATTGCCTTTGCGTGCAGCGTGGCCTCGCGCACTGAATTTCCGTATGCCTGACGGTATGGGCCCACCGCAACGCGGGCGATCATCGCGATATGAACGCTGGTAAGCGGTATTAGCTTTCACATCCAGGAAACGGCGTGCTAAGCTGCAAAGCAGCCACTGTATATGCTGATGTCAATTCGAGACGTGAATAACAATATTTTTTTTTTAGGTCTGACACGCTTCATAATGTTCATTCGTGCCCTTCTCGACTGTTGCCAATTGCATCTTGATCACTATCTGAGACCAAATTTTTTTTAAAGGCACTACAAGTATCAATGTACATCCAGTAAAACATACGCACGCGCATGCACGCTCAGGACACACATATGTCCATGGCATACGTATTCGTGTCACTCGGAATGAACGTCAAAAACAGGGTGCTCAGATAATAAGCTTAAGCACGGATATACAGAAAGCCTGTGACACACGATGAATTAACAGCGGCCAATGGACAGCGGCGTGTGAAAGAAGGAAAGTGACAATGTTCTGCTATTAGGCGATCACGAATAGCAATCCCACGTGAATTGTCCTTCTGTTCTTTATCGTTCGTTCGCACTCGCAGACGCTTACTGCGCAATTACTGTGCAATAATTTAAATATCAAAAGTTGCATTTTTTTGTTGTACAACTGTCCGTCGTATTCCTGCTTTCTCCCACATAAGAACTTTGACCAACAGTGTTCAGCATCACCTCTATTCAGCATTCCTTTATTGAGTTACATGTCGATGAGTTTACATTAAGCAAATACATGCATGCAATCAGTACAGTTTATATAGCTCTGTGCGGCCGAGAACGAGTTTGACAAGCCGGTTCAACCTGGTGGTTGCCAAATCCTAACCAAGGTTCCGTCAAAAAACGTTTCAATGCATGGGCACAGAAAAATGAGAACTTTACATAGGCAGAAACTCTTTTCCGCTTCTCTGCTACCACACCCGTGAAGGTCGACAACGTAACGATTGACGTGAAACCTTAACGGAACAGCTCACTACTAAGCGATAGTCACAGCCCTCGTTCATTGTCCATGGCTGCCCGTAGACAGCAATATCGGAGAAAGACACACTCACCGGTGAGGCTCATGTCGAAGGACTCGGCGTCAATCTTCGCCAGGTCCTGTACCGTCCTCCAGGTAAGCGTGAGCAGCTGGTTCTGGGACAGGTCCACGGACACCAGGTTGGGAGCTCCCCGGAACATATGCGCAGGCAGTACACGCAGTCGGTTGTACGACATGTAGAGCACCGTCAGTTGCGGCAGCCCTTCGAAGGCCAGCGGGTCGACCTCGGACAGCTCGTTGTACTTGAGGTCCAGCTCAGCCAACTGGGGCATGGCGCTGAACGCGCGGGCCTCGAGGCGCGTCAGCTTGTTGCGGAAAAGGTCGAGCCTCGCTACGCGCTCCAGACCCCGGAAGCTTTGCTCGCTAAGCTTCTGGATCGCGTTGTCACTCAGCTCCAGCTCGCGAAGGGCACGCAGGTCTTCGAACGCGCCGTCGTCCACCAGTTCCAGCTGGTTGCGCTCGAGGAACAGCTGCGTTAGGGCAGGCAGGTTCTTGAGAGAGCCGGCCCGCAACCTTCTCAGCTTGTTGTCTGCGAGCTCGAGCTTCTTGAGGCGTGGAAGGTCCACAATAGATGTGGTGTCTAAGCTGGTGATCTCGTTTGAGTCCAGTGATAGGACGACGAGGCGCGATAGGTTGTGGAAAGAGTGCGTCTTGAGGTCCCCGAGCTTCGCCTGAGAGACCTTGAGCCGCTCTAGGTTCCGCAAGTGGCGCAGCGCTTGTGTTGGGACGAATTCCAGCCTGTAGTCGCCCCCGAAAGCATTGAAAGCTAATGCGGTAATGGTTGGCTGCCGTTTAAGAGAATCGAAGACGATATGATCAGGTTGTAGTTTGCGGACCACGTAGCAAGTAACGTCGGTCACTTCCTCCGTGAGGTCGGCTGTGTCACAACGGCAGTACATGGGTTGGTCTATAAAGTTGCACAGATCAGGCACTAGCTCATCGGGAACGGCGTAAGCGCTGAAGGCCGTTAAACAGGCAGCGGCCAGTAGTGAAATCTGCGAATACCTGCGTTGAAAACAAGAAAGAAAAAACACAAGGTCATAGAAGTACGCCTGAAACTGAACTGGTCTGGTATAAGATTTCGAGAAGTGCGCGATCGCTTGACAGTGAAATGATGGAATTCGGCAAGATGGTAATTTGGGCCAGTTGGATTAAGTTCACAATCAAAAATTTTGTTGAAGCGCACTAAGAAACAGACGGACAAAAGAGGCTGACAAGGACAGCGCCCAGCCTCCTTTGTCCAACTGGTTTTTTTTTTGCGCTTCAAAATTTTCAATGGCAGAATTCAGTCGCAATACATCAAGCAAGTGAATACTTTTCGAACTTTTCGAAAGCAAACAAAATTCCACTGGTCACTATGTGTACAAGTACACACGAAACCATTTCTTGTTATAGTATTTTTGGTTTTCGTAGATGTGCGCACCTACTGCGATGGCGTTAAATGCGCGAAATAATCTCACGCAGGCTGTAACTGCTGTTAACATAATACGTATGTCCTGTGTGATATGATGACGAATTGTTACAGCCTCAGAAAAATACGACACACTATTGTTTTCGGATATACCAAACCACGTTTGACGGGATGTCTGACAGACTGCTCTTGATTGTGGTGGAACACGATGCTCCTTCGTGCGTCACTACCTTTTGTTGACAAGCTAGCACGTCATTGTCACGAAGCTTCAGTTTTCAGCGATACCGTGGTATGCGCGTTCAATACACCATTGCGATAAAATATCTTACCACTAGAAAACGTTTGGTGTAAGTGGTGTTATACGAGAGTGTCATTCACTTGAATGATGATGATATGTGGGGTTTAACGTCCCAAAACCACCATATGATTATGAGAGACGCCGTAGTGGAGGGATCAGGAAATTTCGACCACCTGGGGTTATTTAACGTGCACCCAAATCTGAGCACACGGGCCTACAGCATTTCCGCCTCCATCGGAAACGCAGCCGCCGCAGCCGGGATTCGAACCCGCGACATGCGGGCTAACAGCCGAGTACCCTAGCCACTAGACCACCGCGGTGGGGCTCATTCACTTGAATAACTTCTTTTTTAAAAGTAGGGGTTTTTGATTCTCAAAACCGCGATATCTTTAGGAAGGATGCCGTACATGGAGGGCTCCGAAAATTTCGGCTTCGTGGTGTTCTTTACCGTGAAATGCACACCACGCAGTTGCACGTGCGTCTACCACTTCATCTCCACCGAAATTCGACCACCACGGCCAGTATCGAACCAACGATCTTCGGATCGGCATCCGAGCACCTTAAGTTGTTCCTCCATTGGTGAGCCATTCGATTGATTGTTTATCAGCGTAGTCGTACTGTAACGCCCTGGAAACATACAGTTTTGAAAGGTTTGCGTACGCCTGGTATGTTGATCGACGAATGTGGGTAGAAAGCTCGCTGTAGTGGACGGAAGGACGACACGCCCCGCTTCCAATGCCATAGTGGAATTACCACGTATAAGTCGGGCTGATGAGCTCGAGGGCTCGGGTTCGATTCCCCTCCACGGCGGCCACGTTTCGGTGGCGGCGAATTTCGAAGAGCATGCATAGATTTCTGTGCACATTAAAGAACTTCAGGTGGTCGAAATTATTCCGAAGCTCTACGCGGCGGGGTGCTTCAAAAACGTATGCTGGTTTTCATACGTAACATCCGAGCAATTGTTGTTGGTGTTGTTATTGAAGTCATAGTGTACAGATGACCAAAAAAAAATGGCAGCATATCCACGGAGTGAATGATGGAGAGTGGGGCGAAGCATTCGTCCGTCCATGCGTCCGTCTGTGTGACAGTCCATGCGTCTGTTCGTGCGCCCGTCCCTGCGTCCGTTCATGCGTCTATTCATGCATCTGTCTGTGTGTCCGTTCGTCCATCTATTCAACACTCCAAGTCCCACCATCTCGCATCTTTTTATCATATATTCCCCATATAGAAGCACTGCCATTCAGTGGACATTACAAGGACTAAACGAGAGGTGGCACACGCACACTTTCTTACGGCTTGCGCTTCGGGTTTACTTCCCACCTTCAACCACCTTGAGTTCATGGTATATACTAGTTCACTTTATTCATGGCACTGCGGCCCAATGCTCACTAAACCTTTCTAAAACCAAGGAGGTTACGCCCAGCGAGTATAACGTAGCAACCTTTTCCTGTCATATAGTGCTCTATGTACATGCCAGTGGCTGCTAATGTGAAATGAGAGACAGGAGGATTCAGCTTTTAATTTCTTACGGCTTGCGCTTCGGGTCCACTTCCCACCTTTAACCACCTCGAATTCATTCATGGTATATACTAGTTCATTGTATTCATGGCACTGCGGCTCAACGCTCGCTAAACCTTTCTAAAACTAAGGAGGTTACACCCAGCGAGTATAATGTAGCAACCCTTTCTTGACAGATCGTGCTCAATGTACATGCCAATGGCTGCTAATGGGGATTGCAACGTGCGCGTTGACTAAAAGCCGAATGCTCCTGTCTCTCATTCCCCATTATCAGCTATTGGCGTGTACATTGAGCACTATTTTTTATTGTTAAACAACGCACAGAAGACATCTCTCACCGGCATCACCTTGGAGGTCAAAGTTATACCTATTTCGGGTATGTGCCACTGGTGGTTGCGTACTACGAGGAACGCCCAAGCCACGCCATAAGGAGCTTCGCCCTTAAAACATGTAAACATATCGTGTTTCATTGCATCTATTGTATCGTTATACCATTGTATCATGATATCGCATTGAGTTCTTGTGTACATATATGCCAACGTTGTCATGTATATTAGAGCAAATGTCTTCACTGTAACGTAGTGATGTTAGTCGTGAAATATAGATGTGCCGTGGTGTATATGCCCTGTTACTGGAATGGTATGAAGCCTTTCTGTTCTGTACATGCTGTAAATAATTTTTTTTCTAAACAAAACCTGCATTCGCTACTTTGCGACCACAGGTGTCACATATTTTCAACAGTTTGGTTGACTGGGCACCAACTAGAAACACGATGGTATGCCTATATCGACCACTTGATGAATAGAGGGGCGGGAAAGAATTAAGCGAAAGGACAGGGAGGTTAGCCAGTTCTTAGACTGGCTGGCTACTCTGTGCTTATCGGTTCGATGAAAAAAACACATCAATGAAGCTTGGCTCATGCTGCTCAGTTTTGTTAGGGGCGAAGCTCCTTATGGCGTGGATTGGGCGTCCCTTGTAGTACGTAACCACCAGTGGCACATACCCTAAATAGGTATAACATTTGATCTCCAAGGTGGTGCCGGTGAGAGATTTCTTGTGTGCGTTGTTTAACAATAAAATATAGTGCTCAATGTACATGCCAATGGCTGCTAATGGGGAATGAGAAACAGGAGCATTCGGCTTTTAGTCAACGCGCACGCTGCGATCCCCATTAGCAGCCATTGGCATGTACATTGAGCACTATCGGACAAGAAAGGGTTGCTACAATATACTAGCTGGGTGTAACCTCCTTAGTTTCAGAAAGGTTTAGCGAGCGTTGAGCCGCAGGGCCATGAATACAATGAACTAGTATATGCCATGAATTAATTCGAGGTGGTTAAAGGGGGAAGCAGATACGAAGCGCAAGCCGTAAGAAATTAAAAGCTGAATCCTCCTGTCTCTCATTTCACATTAGCAGCCACTGGCATGTACATTGAGCACTATATGACAGGAAAAGGTTGCTACGTTATACTCGCTGGGCGTAACCTCCTTGGTTTTAGAAAGGTTTAGTGAGCATTGGGCCGCAGTGCCATGAATAAAGTGAACTAGTATATACCATGAACTCAAGGTGGTTGAAGGTGGGAAGTAAACCCGAAGCGCAAGCCGTAAGAAAGTGTGCGTGTGCCACCTCTCGTTTAGTCCTTGTAATGTCCACTGAATGGCAGTGCTTCTATATGGGGAATATATGATAAAAAGATGCGAGATGGTGGGACTTGGAGTGTTGAATAGATGGACGAACGGACACACAGACAGATGCATGGATGGACGCATGAACGGACGCAGGGGCGGATGCATGAACGAACGCAGGGACGGGCGCACGAACAGACGCATGGACGGTCACACAGACGGACGCATGGACGGACGAATGCTTCGCCCCACTCTCCATCATTCACTCCGTGGATATGCTGCCATTTTTTTCAATATCTTTGTTCGTGTCATGCAGTCACGAACAGTGACTTGTCTTCCGAATCGTTGTTGTTGTTGTTGTTGTTTCTTTCCTCTTACGTTGCAGCACTCGAAGCGAAGAAAAAATGAAACGGGCAACTATACAGGCGCTGTTTCGCATGCAGATGCGATCCGGTAAAATCTTTTTGTTGGAGACAAAAAGGTGAATACATACATTTTTAAACCGGACATCGCATAACCCGACTAGGTCATATAGAAAATTATCTCGGCAGGGGCATTTTCGAGACGAGATAAATAATAGAACCGAGCAGTGGGTCGGTTTTTACACCTGTGGGTAAGAGTGTTTTCAGCACTGTTCTAGTAGAAATTGCACCCGGAGCCCCACAAAAGTGTATATGTACTAAAAAAAATTTAGGAAGGAAAAAAAAGCACAGGAAAGGGAGGCTATGAACGCTCATGACGATTGGTTTCTGGAAGAATTAATATAACATGTAAGCGGCGCGCCGCTTCTGTTCTTCATTCTCCTGATCTCAAAACGACGCATTTCGGTATGCGCGGAAATTCTCGCGCAGTGATGCGATCGCACTGCACGTTCGTGATACTCCCATTTTGGATTCATAGTAATAAGGGCTGCAGCGCGAGCACGAATGTGCTAGAAGAAACAGACAAAGTCGAGGTACGAAGGCAAAAGAGGACAACACGAGCGCTGCCTTCGTACCTCGACTTTGTTTTTTCTAGCACATTCGTGCTCGCGCTGCAGCCCTTATTACTATGAATTCAAACCAACTAGCCCAAATCGCCATTCTTCCCATTTTGGAGTTTTCTCTTGGCATTCACGTATCGTTTTGCAGAAAATACAGCGAAAGCCTGTAG